GGTTGCCGCTTCGTCTCTGTCGGATTTGTGGCTGTTGCAATTTGTTTACCGCTTCTCTTTAATTCTAGCTCTTAAGAAACGTGTGTAATGGCTCCTGCAACTTGTTTAATGCTTTTGTTTAATTATAGCTGTGTAAGGAACGTGTGTAATGGTTGTATAAGGACAGAGTCAAACACAATTACATTGCAAAGTGAACCAAGCATCCTAACTTTACATCTTGTTCAATATAAGTATACAAGCCAGCTGTAGAGGAAGAAGGCTCCAACGCGAGAGGAGGAACGGCGGAGAAGAAACGGCTCGCAGTGGAAGAAGAATCCCTCACGAGATGGGAGAAGAAGGATGAGTCATCTATTACCGGCCTCTTGTAGAGATAGGATGTATAAGGGTAAATTTGTGATTTTACATTTTCATTATAAAATTCCACATTTGTTGCCAAACGAGTGATTTGACGAAAATTCTACTCAAATCGCTCAAATTAAAAACTTGGGTTTCTAAATGAGTGATTTGGTCTTGAATCCCTCATAAATCACTCATACTATACTTCCTAATCCAAACGAGCCCTTTAAGTTTTAGATATTGGTATATATGTATTGTTTCTCAAGCAAAAGAAATTGACTAAAGGTTATCATCATTAGTTTCCTATGTATGCTATGTTTTTTCAGATAAACTCTTTTTTTGTTATGTCAATTTTCTTTTCAACTATAGGCAACTAAGTGACTACATCATTAAATAGACAAGTTATGAATGATTATTCACAAGTGTTATAACCAACGTTGTGACACCTTTACCGGGCGACTGGTTGGACTAGGTCCACCAAAGTCGTGCTCCAAAACGGGCTCTACAAAATCAAGGGTCTAATCGTTAGAGAGGGAGAAGAAGACAGAGGAAGGGGGAGGGGAGAAAGGCAAGGGGATGGTGGGTGGATCTTGAGCTAGGTATGTCTTTTTTATGGAATTTGATTGTTTGAGTTTTTAATAGATATAAGTTAGTACATTCTATTTCAGTCACTAAATTTCTATCTTATATGTAAATATATTTAGAAAATGTGTAAAACGGCTTAAACAGGTTGGACCTCAATCAAACCATTAAACTTCAAACTACTTGCTTGACCGGCTCAAGGACTTAAACCGGTTTGACAACTTTGGTTATAACAGATTACAATGTTCACCATTGATGAAAAGTTATAAGAATTTTAGGAATGGAAAAATAATTTTATGTCACCCTGATGTCATACAAAATTCAGCATTTCAATTAATTTAAAATATTTAAATACACATCATAAATACGTTGTGTTCAAATGACATTCCGACCAACATGTTGGATAAAAAGCTAGTTTTTAAAAGAAGGTAGATCATGGTAGTCTTGGTGTTTAAATTGTTATCCGGTCTTACGGTTTTTACCCGATTTTAACACGGACCGGAATGATTCGGGCTTTTAATTATTTATGGGATCAAAGATTGAATTGGATTGTTTTACATCCGGTCCTGGTCTCATACGGTTCGGGTTTGTACAACCTGGTTTTGGGTAGGGGTGTTCAAATGGTTACCATGGTAATTACCAAACCAAATAAGTCTAAATTTCATTAACCACAGAATATACTATTATAACCAAACCATCCAAACGAATACAACAACCAAATTAACCAAACTAAAGTTTAATCAGTTTGGTTAATTGGTTAACTAAAATAACCAATATAACATCACATTATCATTTAGTGGAAAAAAATTGGTTAGTGCATCAATTTACAATTTATATAATGAATAACACATAACAATCAACACACAAATATAGTTAACCATTAACATAGATACATGTAGAAATACAATTATCTTACATTTGACTCTTTAGTGGTTATGCAAAGTATTAAGTATGTGTATATAATATATATTAGATATTTAACTAATTACTTAACTGGTTGATTTGGTTTCGTTGGTTATTAGTGTCCGAAACCAAACCAAACCAAACCGCCTAAACCAAACAAGATAAAAAAATTAACTACACCAAACCAATTATCCACATTAATCAAACCAAATTATCTAAATACTACCGGTTAAAACGGTTACCATGATAACCACTCCGTTTGAACACCTCTAGTTTTGGGTTAAACTAGAAAACCCTGACCAAATAGCTAGCCCTAATTAGGATGCTATTTGGATAGTGATATATTAACCTTTTACTAGTGGTAAAGAGATGAATAAAAAATTCGTGCATCAATCTTCAATTGCTTCACACCTACCGTTCAATACTTCAATTTCAATCTCCTAGCATTTTATGGGGGGAAAAACTATGAATAATCAGACAGAATTAAAATAAATTGACAAATAATTTGCATAATAATATCACTCTGTTCCGGATTTTATATCTGATAAATATTGAAAGGATAAGGAAGGCGGTGTTCGATTTTCGAAGGCCAGACACTGTGTGAGCAACTGTAATGGGGGCTTTTCTGTTTGTGTTTCTATGTCAACTCTCCTTTGTGCAAAGCTGTGTCAGCCATGGAAGCTGAAACTGCACTCAATTTGACTTGCCTTATGCTCTCACAGTGCCAAACACTGCCCAATTATCTCACGTGTGAGCACTAACGACAGTAACGAGGTACAAAGGGAAGGCACGAAAACAAAATAGTGACTATTCCTAAGCCCTTATCCAGAACAACAACAACAACAACAACAACTGTCTACCAGTCTACCACCCACACCAAAACCCAAAATTATCGCCAAAAACATGGGCCTAATTTGTGTTGCTGAATAAACTCGTCATCATTAATTCCCCCACTAAATGCACAATTGGATCCTCACTCACAGTACACTTTGTCATCATAAGTTTATCCATTCGGGAAAATAAACTCACAACATGAGAGAACATTAGTTATTGACATCATTTCCAACAACCGATCATGTACCCACAAAACACTAATTTGGTTATGATGCCTACACAATAAGCATGCTCGATAAATCATCAATGAAAAGCTTCTGAAAGCTTGTTGCTGTCTTTTTTCTTCTTCTTTTGCCTTTCTGATTTCTGTAATGAAAAATTGTGATTCAACCCGTAAAAGTGAGAGTTGATAATTGTATCGGTTAGATCATGATAGCATGTCACTGATAGAAGCTGATATCCCCTGTAAGTAAGCAGAGCATATTCCATTCTCTTTTGTCTAGTGGCGTGTGAACCAGCATCACGTTGAATGAAACCCAAACATGTATTTGTTGTTAATGGCCAAGCCACACACCATGGAAAGAAAGACTTGTTTTTTATTTGTTTTGGGTTTTAGTACACGAGGCAGCAGCTTGTGATTGACGAGCAAGGAGGAGATGAGATGGCGTCGGGTAATTTGAGACGGCGTCTTTTAGCTAAGGGCATATGTCCTTCTCCGCCTTTGAAGTGTCCATTTGGGCCAAAAGGGAGAAAGTCAGTAGTGAGTTGAGTTGATGGGCTCTGACATGGGAGTTGAAACAGAGGTGGGTGGGGGAGAGGGGAGGCAGGGGACATATAAGTTTTGGACAAGGGGTTGATCCGAATTCGGTTGAGCTAGTGGATCAAGAGATAATGGGTCACCTATTTTAGCCCAAAAATATGGAAAGAGTCATTATATTGTACTTATCCTGATAAATTATATCACATCTCATCTAACATATGAGTAATGATATATAACATTACACCAAAGCAACATGTCGTACTTATATCCAACATATAGTGAAAAGACATACACACGTATATAACATTAATATTCAAATGTTCAACTAAGGATTCCAAAGGTTGAGTTAGGCGAAAAGAAAAATAGGAAAATAGACGCATTTCACAAACCAAAGAAAAAAATGACACAATTTGACCTCGAACCCGATACCTTGTAGCGGTTGACCAAGCAGGTGCGTGCGGCCCGTTTTTCCCACCGGATCAGGGTCAAAGTGGGTTGACTAGCGAATTGACAAGTGACAACCTTGGTTTTGGCTAATTCACTAAAAAAAAAAGAAGAGAATGAAGAGGTGGTGTAGTCTCTTTGCATTCAAGTTGGATTCTTAACCACGTCCGTACCTCGACAACTATTATTGTTGCTTTTTATTATGCGGGATTTGTCAAATGGTACATGTGTTAAGAGTCTTTTCTAGATTTGAAAAGGAAATTCCTTGCTTTATTTTGAAATTTTAAACAAAGACCAGGTGATAAAAAGACTACTAGAAATTTATTGATCTTTGGATAGATAGAATCAATTTTCTAAATCGATCTACTTGCACAATTAAATTTTAGTGTCCTTGAATTGATTTTATGGGTGGGTAACTCATCATAGTGAACATCTCAATAGAAAATTTAAACAGAACTAAAATTTTCATTTTTGACTTTTCCCCTACAAGTGAAGTTGGTCATATGATTGAAACTCAGTGTTAATAGCATCAATGGCGGAGCCAGGAATCTGAAGAGGGGGAGGGGTTTACATGTAATTTACCTGTACTTGAAAGTTGAAGCCCCCTGGTTTAAACCTAGCCCCACCACGGAATGTTTCATTGTTAACACCATGAACTAAATACAAATAAACACGAGGAAAGTTGATATATCTAATGTCACCCAATTTGAGGCATGGAAAGAATTTGGAGACTAAAGTCAGATCATTGATAACACAACTGAATCCATGCTCTATGCACCCTTAGGATTGAATTCACGCCCATGAACTCAAATCTTGTTTCTCCATCGTAAGGTTCATTTTGGATAATAATCTTCATTGCTGTGTTGATGAAGGCCCACTATTTTCTTTAAGAATCGCAAGTAAAAGAAGAAACTAGGGTGCCCACTGTCCACAATTGAACATGATAAATAGATGGATGTAGAACAAGGCAACAGTAGATCGAATTGAACAACAACTGTTTGCTCATTTTAGGCATACTCGCAAACATCCCTATCAATCCCCTTTTTCACTGAAAGCAATCTGTAACCAACCCCCAGGCCCCTCCCACCCAATAAATAAAATATATAATCTTGGTCTAATTATCTCTTTATTATTATATTCATAAGATTTACAAAGTTTGTTCAAACCCCCCAAATGGGAAATAATAATTTATATAATTTAGTAATCATCACCTACAAACAAGTGGCCAAGAGAGAAATAACTAACAAGGTAAAAAAAAAAAAAAAACCCTAGCATAAAAATTACCACGTTAAACTCACTGGTGTTTTTTTTTTTCTCCCTCTTCTTCTTATACAGTAATCTGAAAGGTACCCTAAACTATTAACAAATTACAACTAGGTACTACAGTAAAAAAACCCTCATAAACAGACAAACTACAATTTTTTAGGACAACAAATGTAAAAATATTTCGGTCAACGGGCGATGTCTGACTTGATTGTGTAACCCAATTGCTGCTCCATCTCCCAGCTCAGCTTCGATGCTACACCACAATGCTGGGGCTCATATTCCTGCACATTAAAAAAAAACAAAATTAGCTATATAAATAAATGGATGGCTGAGATCAGTTGACCACAGATCTACTAGTGCTAACCCGGTCCACTTGTACACATACCAGAAGGCTCTCAGATATTTATTTCAGACCAAAGAAAAACACAAAGTAAGTACCTCGAGCTTGACCATGAGGTCGTGGGCATTTTGGGCAGAGACGATAATGTGACGGGCAGCCGGGGCGACGAACCCTTCGTCCACAGCCTTGTCGATGAACGATAATAATGAATTGTAGTATCCGTCAACGTTCAACAAGCCCACCTAAAAGAATAAAAATGTTTTAATTTTGGAAGAGTGAAAGTTATAACAAGTAAAATTGACAAGAGGTGCTTTTTTTGGACTTGAATACACACAGGTTTGTCGTGGATCCCGAGCTGAGCCCAAGTGATGACTTCGAGGAGCTCCTCGAGAGTCCCGTATCCTCCAGGAAGGGCGATGAATGCGTCCGCCTGGCGAGCCATTTCGGCTTTCCGTTGATGCATTCCCGACACGGGTTTTACTTCGCCTACGGGTTCCCCAGTAATCTAAAGAAAAATAGGTGAGGGACAAAACTGAAATTTGTCAGGTTTCTTCTGGAGGTCAGGAAGTATATTTAAATAAAAGGGCTGATATTTACTTCTTAGAACAATAATTTAATGAATTGATTGATTACCTCTCTAGGCATAAGAGTCTTCGGAATCACCCTGGAAGAAGACAGAAGAGCAAACATAATAAAAAAAAAAGGTTATTAGCTATTCTCTAAACTTAAACTAGTAGGCTAATGGAGGGGCTCAAGAGTAGGGGTTGAGAAACTCTTGCACCAAATCGTGGATTTTGACAAATTAAAGGGACCAAAATGACAATTTTACCCTAGAGGCACAAGCGCCAGAAAGAATGTGAATGGCTCAGGTTCAACTTTACCCGAGAACGTGGCGGCCACCTTCATAGACGGCTTGAGAGACGAGTCCCATGAGCCCAATGCTTCCTCCTCCATAAACCAAGTCAATCTCCCTCTCAACCTGCAATATTTCATTTTCACCACCATACATCAGCCAAATTTGCATCTCTCGAAGCTCGATCTTGGTTGCAATTATAATCCGGGGCTAAATTTTACATTTCCATCCCCACTTCGTCATTGAATTAAAAGAATATGACAAAACCCCATCCAAATTAGCATATTTTAGCTTTAGACCAAAAAAGGAAGTTCATGTTTTCGTACCGAAAGGAAACAAAATGACATCCAAAATTGAAAATTTTGGAAAAAAAACTCAATAGAAGGGGAATCGTGATTTGAACCATGAATGGAGCGAAATACGAAGAAAACACTCTAGTCTCATGCTAAAAGAGTAGTCAAAATCGTAAGTTTACGTATGATCAGAAGCAATCAGCTTCCTATTTTCGTACCAATTCTTTGGCTAACTGGAGAGCGGCGAGCTGGTAGCTTGGATTCCTGCCAGGGCTGCTGCCACAGAACACACAGACACGCCTGAATCTTGATCTCATGGCAGGAAGCTGCTGCTGCTGCTGTTCTTGTTGATTCTCCATATAACAAATTAAGGGAGAACTGAGGTACAGCTTTGATGTTGCTCGCTTTAGTACTGGTATTTCTTAAGAAAAGGGTAGTAGTGTTGGGGAGTTGGTTTTCAGCTTGAAAGGAAAAGAAGTGAAGGAAGGAATGTGAAGAAATGGTGCCAATCTGGGCCCTTTATATATGCGAAGAATGCTTCACTGTTGGGACTTTTATTATTTTTGTTTGGGGAGGCTGCCCTATCTTTCTGATTTCTCCCATTCTCTTCCCCTATTAAGTTCCTTTTTCCAAATCCACCACCACCAATTTTATTTGTTTTTTTGTTAATAGTTCTTTTCATTTCTGTAACTAAAATTTAATACATGATGTCCACATCTAAGGGGCTATGGCCATCAATTTCACACTCAATTTTTTTATAGTGGGGTTAACCTCTCCTTAATTAGTGTATTATATTTCCTTCCCATTTCTGATCTTGGTATTCCAAACAAAACATATTCAAACCCACAAAAGGAAAACCTATATACACCTACTATAGCTAGCTAGGTAGGCATGTAACCCTCAACAAGATTATACTAATGAGGAATTGTGAGGAATTGTGTGTTTTTTTTTTGAAAGAGGCTTGTATTGTTTAGCATGCATCCTCTCCTTAAAGAGAAATTTTACAATGCGATATAATATTGGTGCTATATGTTTTTTTGCCTTTATGGTACAACTTAAAATTGTACATTTACGTTATGGTACAACTTCAGATTATACCTATACTTTTTGTAGAAATTCTTTTATGGTACAACTTGAACTTGTACCTTTATGTGATGGTACAACTTCAAGTTGTAAAGTTGTACCATAACATAATGGTACAAATTGCTTTATGGTACAACCTAAACTTATACATTTAATTATATGGTACAAGTACAACTTTGAGTTATACATTAAAGCAACAATGCTATATAGCATAGTAGAAGTGCTCCTTATTAAATTCCATAGCTTTCAAGTCCATATGTAATTAGATTTTTACTAGATCGAGCTCGATATTCGTAGGTACCTTGAGGTTATGAGCTCTGCTCTATGTGCGTGATGCCAACTGTCAAGGTTGATACTCAATACAAATGATTGAAATGAACTTGAGTTGCACGATCAAGGGTTATGAAATTAATTGTGTGTAAATTATTGAAAGAAATCCAAGAATACGTCTCATATCATTCTTCTTAGATGCTTGTTAAATAAATTCATTTTTTTTTTGTCAAGAACAAGAGAAGTAGGTGCAATGATCTTTTCTTTCATGCATACCAATTGCTAACACTCTAGTTGTGAGCGTAATGACTTAAGCCTCACTGATTGTTTCAACATCAATATAATTTTCTAAGTCAGAATGTTACTTTTACTAGTTTAAAACTTAACCGCATACATATTTTATAAAGAGGTCATTTGGATGAGGAATTATAATGGATCAATTTAACCAAATTGTCTCGTATTGAGATAATTGGACCAAATTGACCGGTTTGTTAGCAAAATATTTGGATGAATCAATTTGAACTGGAGAATTTCGAATTGACCCATTTAAAATCAATTCCAATTTTCTAAGTAGGAGACAGACAATTCGAATTGACTAATTTTATAAAATGAGACAATTGACCAAATTATCTTGTTTTAGACTTGGTTTCATCCGAATCACCTCATAATTAATTCACAACCAAGTTGACTAAAATGAAAACAATCAATATTTGATTTATCTATATTGTTGAAAACTGAAAGACAAATCCTCCGTGGATGATCTAACATGCTTAGTCTAGACGTCTAGTCACTAATAACTAATAAGGTTCAAATGCTCAAAGACCAAAAGAGAAAATAATTGATCCAACCAAGAAGGCCAGGAAATAAATTACATAAATGCATTTTCCAGAGAAGTTTTTAGAGTTGAGAAATAGTAGCCAATAATTACGGCAAATTGACAAGCAAAGAGAGACAGACAAGGTAGTTAGAGACAAGTGTACTCGTGGGATTGCACGTGAAACTTGTAAGGTACAATCTTATCTGCCCCACGCTACCCATTCCATTCTTCTTCCCCACTAAACTACACTATTCATTTCATAGAGATCCAATTTATTTATAACAAAATTTACAGGTCAATCAAATATTAGTCTGCTCTTGGAAATAGGGGGAAATTGAGCTTTTACTGCCTCACAAGTCACAAGAGAAAGGGAAACCGTATTCTTTTTACTATTTAATGAAAATGTGTGTGCTTAATCCATTGATTGATTATCTATGAGATTTTGATCTCTACTTTTCCATTATGTTTTACAGCTAATGATAAAAATAAATTCTACTATTTCAGGTATAAAAGCGTCATGTTACATGGATTACGAGAATGAAACGAGATCCAAAAGTATGTAGCATGAGCGGAGCTACCACAATGTAGTATTACTAAATCTGCTGGCGGATAAAAACATGATTTCGTATTGGTACAAATGTAAAACCTAATTAGTTTAATATTCCTCGGAATTAAGGGATTCAAAGATGTTTGATGAATAAGGTAAATCTTGCAATATGAACAAAGACTTCTGTGTAGTCTATACCATGTTGTTATGCGTATCTCTTTGCTACAAGTCTGACCTTGTACTAGTCCACTTTACTATGTTTGTTATCGTTGTTCTAAATACTCGTTTCACTCCAATTGAGACAATGCCTGGTGGTGATGTGACTAGAATCCAAGTTTCATTCTTCAAAGTAGAAAAGGGATTTAATCTCCTGCCTTGTTGCTTCCCTCCACTTAGGATCATCAGCTATAGCTACCATGTCGGCTCAATAAACTTTAAGATACCTAATTTCAAAGTCATTAAAATGTGTTGGCAGTCTTGAAACTCTGGGAGTTAATTCTCCATGAGGAAGTCCCTAAGTATCAGCTTGAGATGTTGCATCATCATTATCAGCAGCAGAGGAACCATAGTTCATTTCATTTGATGATGACGTTGTATGGATATTCTAATATCCGCCCTGAACCCACCCAGTATCCCTATACCTGGATACCCCTTGGCCAATCCACTTCTCAATTCTCGAATTTCGTTCTCACTTTCAATCTTGTCTCGTCATTCCCCAACTCCATAGTTCTGAATTCCCATTTCCAACCCTCCTCCAATCCTCTTGAATCATCGTCTTCTTAGAGTCATCAAATGAAACTCCACTAGCCATTAAATGAATTCTTCTTCTCAAAGCCAAAGCCTTCTATCGTTGATGGAAAAGTGACAAACAATCTCTCAATTTTTCATTCTGCTAGCACTGATGCTCATCTCTTTAGTCTTTATAGTAAACGCAACTACATCTCAAGAGATGTAGAGATATAAGAGAAGGCTTTCAGTCATTCAATGACATCTATAAGTTTGAATTAACGAGAACCTCAATGAAGAAGAATTGTAGCATAGTAACTTTTCTTGTCTTTTTAGTATCTTTTCAAGGTCTACTACTCTCCTTTATTAGCATGTTGTTGGAGCAACGTCAATTTTTTGGTGAGTTATGATCAAATATATTACGTATCTGTGGGTATACAGATACATGCCCGATATCCCTGGATATTCTTGGGCCAGAAGATTGCAGGAACCTTAGTATCTTCAAGCATGCACCTGACTATATTGAGAATGGATATATTCTTCGTCCCAGCTATTCCATTTTGCTGTGGGGTAAGGGGTTGTAGTGAACTGGCTTCCGGTTACCATCACAAATTGCCTTGAATTCATTTGAAATGAATTCTCCCCCTATCTATCCTAAGACACATGACTGGGGTGTTCCCTTCTTTCTTCACAAGAGCAACACTTTAAACATACTGAAATATTCGGACTTGACAGCCAAGAAGTAAACCAAAAATTGTCTACTGAAATAATATATTAAGGTAAAGATGTACCCCTTTCCTTTGCTTGAAACTAGAGTAACAGGTCCACATAGATCAACATGAGCTAACTTCAACTTCTGTGTAGCTTGACACTGGTTGTGCTTAGGAAATGATGCCTTATGTTGCTTCTCAATAAGACAAGTGGAATATACTCCGGTTGAACTTTCATCACATGTAAACCCTTCATCAGTTCACTTCTTTGTAGCCCCACCAGTCCCTGATAGTTGAGATACCCAAACCTTATATGCCATAGGGCCGCTTTCTTTGCTGAGTTGTCAGTGGCCTACATACACTTGGCTTCAATTGCTTGACTTAGAGCACAATGCTAAACAAATAGGCTATTTGTTTTCATACTTGTTTGTAAGAGGAGCTATTTTCCCTCGTGAATATCTTGCACACTCCACTTCGAAACAAGAAAGCCACCCCTTTCACCTATAGCTGTCCTATGCTAATTAGGCTCGACTTCAAACCTGGTACATAGAACACGTCCTGCATGACTAGAGATATCATATCCATATTGAACATTATAGTTCCCTTTCCTTGATAAGTCAGCCTTATATCATTCCCTAGTTTTATTGTATAAGTAAAGGAGGTATCAAGTTCAGTAAATCAACTCTTATCTCTAGTCATATGGTTGCTACAACCTGAGTCCTAGAACTACCATCATTCACCATAATCTCCAAGTGTGTCCAACAGACTCATAAGTGCTTCTGGTTTAGCCTCACTAGTTTTTCCTTTCACATTTTCTTCAGTATAAGCCATTAGAGGAACTTATTCCTTCATGTCAGGGTATTGACTCCTTTCAAACACAGTTGCATTGGTGAAATGTGACTGCTAACCATAGAGTTCAGGACACTCGTACTTGAATTGTCCAACTTATGGTAGTAGAAACACTCTATTGTATCCTTATTCAGGGTTCTGCCTCGACCTCTAACCCTTCATCGAAAATCACATCTCACTTGTCCTCTTTTACCTCGACCACCAAAATCATGACTTATCTTCAGGGCGTGATCATTAGTGTCCTCCTTTTTTTCATGAACTTTTGTTCATGAACTAGCAGGGAGCTTTGTAGTTCAGCAACTATAAGAGCATCTATATCCGTTGATTCTTTAATAGAGCAAACAATATAGTTGAATCTTTCAGTTAGTATTCGCAAGATTTTTCAACTATTTTCACATATGATACTTCCTCTCTACAGTTCCTTATGCCATTGGCTACCACCACCACTCTACCAATGTAGTCATTCACACTTTCTTTAGTCTTCATTTTCAAAA